GCCCTTGTGCTCCTGGGATTCTCAAGACACAGGTGAAAACATCCTCTCTGACTCACAAGCACAGCTCCTTTGCAGGTCTAGAATCCGCTCTTAATTTCCAAAAACACAAGAGTGCTTTAAGAACGTCAAGGCCATTTGAAGACTGATTTGGTTTACAGATTATAAAATGCGTTGAATGGAAGACATTATCTCAGAAAACATTTCTAATGCTTTTCTAATAAGTGACTCTTCTGGCACCGGGTAACAATCCTGGTGTGTTGTCTTCTTCCCAATGTTCACAAACATAATAAAAAATGGCCTTCTCTGAACACAGTCCGCATCAAGCAGAGCGCAGGACACAATCGCGATTCCCCATTCTAGCTCCTGAACAGAACCCAGATGCTGCTGCAGAACCGGCCTCCCGAAGGTAAGGTCTGTGCTGAGAGAGTACTCAGGGACGCCTCGGGAACTCTTTCAAGACCCGAAGTGCTAGCTACTAAATCCACTACCCTGAACGATACCCCAGTGGCCAGGAAGAATTATTGTAGCTTTCTAAAATGACTCATTCCCTCTCAGGGGGTTGTCCGGGCCCGGGGAAAATCTGTCTCCCTGATTACCAGGGTTGGGTAATTGGGGTGGTGATGGACCTCTGATAAGCTAGATCTTTCTTTAGCTTCACTAGCAAACTCCTGTGTTGAGGGGAGTCAAGATGGGTGTGTAGGGGGGGGGGCACATAGGCATGTACTCCATGGGCTGGGGAGGGAGGCTGCACACAATGACTCTTTCCTGAAACCTGAGTCTACCAGTCCCATTTCTGCCATTCAGTAGATGTGTAATCTCAGGCAGGTCACAGTCCCTCTTTTGCCTCGTCTCTTCCTTCGTAGAAGAAAACCCAAAGCCAAACCCATTGCATGGAGCTGGTTCCGACGTGTGGCAACCCACGTGTGTTACAGAGTAGTACAGATCCACAGAGCGGCTCTAAGTTATGACAGGAGCGGGCTGCCAGGCCTTTCTTCTGCAATACCTCTTGGTGGGTTCCAACCACCAGCCTGTAGTTTAGTCAAGGACAAGTCTTTGTACCACCCGAGGGCCTTGTAGAAGGAAAAGATGGGTTCAAGGAACTCTACGTCTGTTCAGCTCTGGAAACCCTGGTTTGCCGGCACAGGACATCTTGTCTTGTCGATACAAACACAGTGTGAGAGTATTCACGTCATCGTTCTTGTGCCGATTTTGGGATAAAGACCAGCACTCTCCCATCCAGGTGTGCAGAAAAGCGAAGTAGCTCAACAGCTCACACGTACGCGTCCCCAATTCCCTATTCCTGTCTCCTCTTCCAGCTTTAACTATGATTTCCTCTTTCTTCTCCCATTATTTTGAAAGTAAATATATATTTGTTGGACCTCGCAGGGTTTAGAAAAATTGGACAGCCCACACCAAAATTTCCTCTGGCTCTTTCCTCCCCTCGAATCATAAACGAATGGAATCCGTTGTCTCTCCTGTAACACCTGGTGGAAAGTGTAACTGGGGAGTGTCAGCAAGGGGGTCTTTGCCAAATTCCAGAAGCATTCAGGTGGCTTTGCATCTTGGGATTGTAGAAGGTTAAGCGACCTGCCCTCTAATAAGTATCCTCTCCTTGAATTGGGTAGTTTGTTGTGAAGTTCACAAGGAAATGTTTACAGCGAGAACATCCTAAAGGATTTTTCAAAATAAAAACCTGTGCAGGAAGGCTGCATGAGTCCTGGCAAGACAGGTTTCTGGGACTGGTCGGGAGAAGTCACGGCAGGACCAAGAGAACGTTTTTATTTTTGAAGCGCGGGTCCTCAGGGGTAACAGAAAGAAAGCCACCCCCCTTCCTGAGAGCAGTGTTTCTGGAATTACAGGCCAAGTCTCCTTAGTGGCTGGTGACCAGAATCCCCACAAACCTGAGTTAAGCGATCCCTGGAAGGTGCAGGTAAGTGCTTGACTGTGAGCTGAAAGGCTGGCCATGGAAACCCACCCAGAGGCGCCTCAAAACATCAGAGCCCTGAAAGCCGAGGGAGCCGTTCTACTCTGGACACACAGGGTCACCAGGACCCCGAAGTGACTGATTGACGACTAATGACAGGTAAAAATAAAGCAGAGCGGAGTGGAAAACAGCCACGTGCACCCCCGGCTGGTGGCACACGGTGACACTGGCTCGGGCGTGGGGGGGGATGTGCACGGTGTGTTTGGCACACCGAGTCCTCAACGGAAAATACGATATATTTCTTAGTGAAGGTCAGGGCCAACAAAACAAACAAAATCCGTGAAAGCTACCTCCCTGGCCAACGTCACTGTAATGGACACGCCTCTTGGTTGGCTTCCAACGACTTGCTCCGCTTTCTGACAAAGTTGATTTAAGAAGGAAAAGAAAAAAGAATGCTGCCGACTGGGAAGAGTCCCTTCACAGCCCTGCGCGTCTATCTAAACTCTCTCCAAGTTACTCTGAATACTGGTTTGTGGTCCCTGAAAAGCCCTTTCGTGGACTCACCCCGTTCAGGGTGAACCCAAAGCGGCTTGTTTGTCTCTCTCTCTCTCTCCCATGGGAACAACCTCTATCCTTTGAAGGTGCTTACTCTACACCCCCCCCCCCCATGTTTGTACTTTCTTTCCCTTTCCACTGTCAAAGCTTTATTTTCGTGGAAGACTGATAAACACTGTAAACAGGATAAAAGAACTTCAGTAGGTCCTGTTCCCAAAGGTATTTCTATTTTCACCAAACCCTAAGCCTTGTGCCAGATAAAAGAACTCCGGTGGGACTTAACAGAAGGAAGAAAAGAAGTCCTCCCTGTGGCCACTAGTTCGGCTCACACTTCATTTTGATTTTTGTTCTTGTTTACATGAAACTAACGTGTACACTGCTTTTCTGGCGGATTGCTAAAAATATGTCCTTATTTTCCTCAGTGCTCTCGTGAAACTTTATCAAAGTTCTGGAGAGAAAATAAGAGTCCTGTATTTGGCTGGCCATGCATCTTACCCTCAACATCCTGCTGGGCACGGCCCTGGTCTCGTTCCACTCACTCACTGCCCTCGAGGTGATTTCCACTCTCAACGACGCTAAGGGACAGAGTGGAACTGCCCCTTTGGGGTTCTCAGGCTTTCAACCTTGACAGAAGCATCCGACTTTTTTTTCTCCCCCCGACAAAGTCCCTGGTAGGTTCCACCTGGTGGCCTTGTGGTTAGTGGCTCCGTGGTAGCTCATTACGCCACCAGGATTCCTTAGGTCTCCTGTCGATGATGGTTAAAGAGTGTTTTAATTACTACACAGTCACATTACTCTATGACCCAAGCAATGATGCTGTTTCCCAATGTCACACTAATAGGACAAATGGCAAGCTTGCTTTTCAAATTTAAGGTGGCATTCTGAAACGTGAGGCTGGCTTAGGACGGCAGTATTTTGCTCTGTTGTACACGGGGTCACTATGAGTCAGAGCCAACTGAATGACACCTAGCTTTAACATTCTGTAAAGATTTGCACTTTTCATAAAATAAAAATAAGTATTTTGAATTCACATCCATTTGTTAAGCATTGAATATTTGTCAGGTCTCCAGGACGCCTCAATATAGGTATTGTTCCTCCCCCACCACCCCAAGAACCGCACACACCTAGCTTCACATCCAAGAAGGCCAAGGCTCAGAGCCAGACTGACAACGTGCCCACGGGATGTAATTATCAAGTGGCAGAGACGATTCAAATCTGTCCATCTCACCACGAAGGGCGTGCTCCCCTCACTTTTACCTGGCCTAACTTTTTTGCTGAATCTAGAATTAACCTTGTCCTTTAGAAATCCTGGTGTCCCTGGTTTATCACAAAGTGTACAAAGTATTTGACCCGATCTCGCGGTGCTTTCTGCTTGACCTGTGCAGCCTCATGGCCGCGCTTCAGCCATGTTCACAGGCAGCAATAAAAGAAGTTAGAGTCAAGAGCGGTCGATGTCCTCCGTGGTCTGACCAGTCAGAGAGCTCTTTTGTTTCAGTGTTCAAACCACAGTGCTTCACAAAGAATGCAGCGCTGCGCACATGACTTCCACTTTCCCCAGTCCTCCTACAGACAAATTGTAGCGGCCTCCCTTTAAATTCAAACTAGGTTTCTGTTTTGCTTTCTCTCCCCCGATGTCCTAGGTTTTCAGAAACCCTCTTTGTGCAGCGGCCACGTATCCCCCCAATGAGAGCAAGTGGAAGCAATTGATTTTGTACCAGATCCTTGTAGAGATCCAATCCAGGATTCACTTTTCTTTAAAAGGGAGAATGCGCCCACTGACTACCCGTGTGGTTTGGTAGCCCGTCTTAGACTCCAAAAACATCTAAATAGCTTTCCCACGTTAATTTTGCCTTCAGTTTCAGGAAATAGAATAATTATGTAGGTACATAGAGATCCTTATACAAACAAGCACCATGTTTACGATGTACCAATCCATTAAAATCAATGACAGGCAGAGATTATAAGAACTAAAACCCATTCCAAGTAGACTAACAGCCCCGAATCCATCTGCCCAGGCCGCATCCTTCGCCAGAAAACCTCCTATTTGAACCTGCTGCCCAAACAACGGCTTTACCAACCTAATGTCAAGGTAAATACCTCATTAATACTATTAACCAGTGGTAGCACTTGCATTCTTTAGGCTCCAAACCAAACTCAGGTTGGCATTCTTTTCTTTGAAAGTAACCTTTAAAAAGACACCATAACATAGTTTCCATGGATCTGTTTAAATATAGCTTATGAGGCGCTGTTCCACGTTGACTTACAGCTTCTAACCATCAACCACTTGAGTTAAAGAGAATAAAGTAAAGGCGAATTCCATGATTCAGGATAAACCCCAAGTTTCCCCTATTTTAAGCTAGAGGTCACACTTTCACACGGAAAGCCACATACGGTCCTGAGGTCAAGGTCAGAATATCCTTCTACTATATAAACCAGGCACCGAGCCGAAGGAAAGCTCGTGCTAAGAACATGGGTTTTTCTTGAAAGGGGTAGGATCAGTCGTAACGGCTGATGGACATACCTTAAGTTCTCTGAAGAAGATACTACTCCGGGCCCATTCAACGATGGAGAACAGGGTCTGATCGGCCATTTTGCACATGAGCCCAAAGGTGCTCAGCTTCTCATGCTTGCTTCGGTTCGCTTGCTCTTGTTGCAAATAGGCCATGATTTTGGCCTGCACTTGAGGCTCATCTGGCTCACACTTCAAAAGTTCCAGTATCAGATGTGGGATGCTTGCCGGGGAGCTGGTCTGGTAACTATCCATGTAGGAATAGCCCATCATGGACTCTGGGGAGCTGGTGTAGGGGTCTGGGTACTCAGACTTGATGGCCCGGCTAGGAAAGTGGCCGTAGGTTTGGTAACCTTGCAGGCTGCCATGAGGTGGCATTGTCATGCTAATGGGGGACGTTACAAAGGGACTTCTGTCATAGTCTGTTGGAGGCAAGGCAGCATGGTTCAGAGGTAGGCCTTTGGACGCAGAGTGGATGTTCTGAATTGCAGAGGAGATGGTCAGATCCGAGGGCATTGCTTGAATCACCTGAGACATGGCTTCTAGCTTAAGTCCATTGGCTCGGATGAGGGCTTTCTTCTGCTGCTTCAGGGCCCTGTCTCTCTTGTACATGGGCCCAAACTTATTCCTTCCTCCTCGCATTCGGTCGGCTCTTACAGCTGTTTGGGGAGGACGGGTGGGAAACAAGGGTATAAATATGATTCATATTATTAGCATTCTCCAGATCAGATCACTTCTGGAAATGTTGAACACCAACAAGAAGCTGTATGTGTATAGTTATTTGAATTACAATAGCCCAAATGATTTTTTAAGCCATGCCCTTTTAATTTATGAATTCTTTCCTGTAGCGTGTTTTGTCATCAAAAAAATATTTTTTGAGACATCGAAACATATTAACCCTTCAGTGAAGGAGATTTCATAACCTTTGCTACACAGAATAGGATGCTGTCTTGTTATGAAAGAGTATCCGTTTTCCAACTAGGAAATAGCAAAGCGAAAATCATTTCGCTTCTATTATGCCATTGGGCTTGTGAGTCTATGTATTTACTCCCTACACCGCTGTGGAGAAAACTTATATAATAATTGTGACTCTTTCCCCCTAGGGCTTCTTCCCCCCTCAAAGACGTTTTGGCTGCTTTGTTGCAAAAGGATAGGGTACATGCTCCTCCTGAAAAATCATTTGCACTTGGCCACTGGTTGTTGTTTTCAATTTAAGCACAGCTGGACATAATGAAAGCAGATTCTTCTCAGAGGCTGTCAAGCGTCCTCGGCTCCAGGGGTGTGGAGTCAGGGGCTATGCCTTCTAACTAGGTTCATAGTTCTCGCCAAGCCCTTAGTGGCCAATGGCAATTACACAGAAACCAGCCACTTCTTGCAGCTTATGACATGTTGAGATTGCTGGAGGTAATGATTTTCAGCTTTTTATCTTAGGATTAGTACAGCATTAAAAATTTATTGAGTGCTAGGTATACAGAATATTACACAAGATCATAAAGAACTGCTTGTTTATTCATCTGGATGATAATTTGCTGAATACTCAGTTGGTTTTCATATCACCATGAAGGATGTCTGAAATATGCCCCACAAGTCACTGGCAGTGATAAAAGTACATTACTTTTCAAAGTTAAGAATTTTACTTCCTTGTGTCAAAATACAAATAGCTATCAGATGACATCCCATTGACATGGAAGCCTTTGATTTTTAACTATGTCTTTATCTTCTAAGCCTCAAAATGTTTTTCACACCCACCCATGTACCGCCGGCAGTTCACGGTTGGGAAAGTAATACAGTGGCTGATGAGAAAGAAATTAGTAAGCATTCGTTACTCCCTTCTTGATTTCTTCTTAAAAGTGATACTGACTTTATGGTAAGCATTGACAGTACTATGGTCAGCAAAGGGACGACTTTTATCTGGATGAAACTGTTAGCAAACTAACCGATTGATTTTATATATATATATATATATATATATATATTTTTTTTTGGAGTATTTCTATCAAGTCACAAAAATAGCTTATACTTCACTGACCGAAAGAGAAAAAATAATTTAAAGCATTCCTGGGCCTGGCATGATCAGAGATCCACGGTCCGTGTTATGACCGTGTGTGCAGTATGTTTAATTTGTGGCAAGGCAGTCGGTCAGAGGCTGGAAAACAGCAATACACCAGAAGCGTCCAGGAACTACAAATTACCACCAGCAGTTACATATTAACTTCACTGCCTGACAGTGGGTGCATGGGGACATGCTAAGTTCGGGCCGCTCTTTCGATATAGAGTGTGGCGTGGCTTTTGAGGAATGGAGTGTACTCCCCCTGTCAGACGCTGTGGCCCTTCTAACAGCAGCACATTCTTCTTCCTGTTTCATAGTTCACATTCAGTTTGCAGGTTCCGCCATTATCTTTAAGGGGGGGGGGGATGTTCCTTCCCACCTTATCAAAACTGATAGTCTCTCCAGAAAACTCCTTTCCACAATTAGAGCCTTTAACTCTTGTGCAAACATCATGAAATTGATAGTCACAATTAGTACACCTATGTAAAGGGGTACGGATGGAGGGAGATGGGATTCAAACTTCACTAGGCTACCCTAATTTCAAATTTTAAAGTCTTTGGAAATATGTATGTTGGCAAACTGATTTTATTTTTTTCATTTGCTCTCAGTTGACTCCCTTTAACCTCGTTTTCAGCTGACCTGACTTTTCGGTGTCAAATGCATCTGTTAAACTAAACAAGAAAAGGGGGGAAAACTCAGATACTGCACACAAAATCAAAATGAAACAAAACTTATCTGTTAGGTTATACTAACTGTTAAATGAAACTCATCCTATAGACAAAAACAAAAGATGCGTCTATCTTCTATTACGGTCTGGAGTGTTTTAAAGAACTGGGAATACTAACGTTCCTCTTATAAGCATATGTGTTCCACAAGCTCATGTTCTTGGAGAGTTTTAATAGGAAGTAGTAGCCTTTAAGAAAGTCTTACCTTCTAGCTTCATTCCAACACTCAGACATTTCTGAAATCGACAATAAGGGCAACGCTTTCTCTGTGTTTTGTCAATTTGGCAGTTCTGGTTTTCTATACACGTGTACCTTTTGTTGTTTTGGACCGTTCGCTTAAAAAACCCCTATAAGACAGAGAAAATAGTGAGATGCATTATAAATCGAACACCCGCCTGGCCCATTGCTTTATTGTAAGGGATTCACCAACAATCCTTTCACCATCTGAGCCCTCTGTGGTTCTGTGGTGCACTTCACACTCAGCAAGACCAACCCTCCAAAACAGTGCCAGACCAGAGTGGGGATGTTTCTGGCATCAGAATTCTATTCCTGAAGAATTACGTCAAATCTTGGGGAAATTTGGCTACACACCATTTCATCCATAAAGCAGAGGGAAATACACTCTCTATGCACACGAGTTATTTTTTTAATCGGTTTCCCAATTACTCTTCACACTCTAGTTAAGAGATACTGGGGAGACTGGCATTGTTTATAAGTAGTCCAATGGAATATAGTGATTTAGTGACAAACCACTGCAAAATGCCAGTGGAAAAACTTGAGCAGCAAAACGCCTCAGATCTTTTACAGTTGTCAACACTAGCTGAAAGCAAAAAGGGTTTAAAGAGTAAAATGGGGAAATGCTCTTAATTCCACTGGAATTCATTCAAACATAGAAATGTAATAAAAAAAAGTGGAACTAAAAGAAAAGCCATGTATTCCAGAGAGCTAAATTTTAGCACACAGTATATCCTTCTATTTCACTCAAAATAATTAATCACCAGTAGAATATATAGCTTTATACTATAATAATAGCTTTACCAAGATGATGCTCTTTATGTTGATTCTACTAGCCATAAAAAGAAACAATTCTATTTTGTTAAACAGAATGAAGGGATTTTCTTGGCCATAGTTTAAAGTCACTACACTGAGTTTTCTACTTAAATAATATATGTGTATACTTTTAAATTGCCAATATTGAATTTACTACAGATATAAAGGCCTGAAGTCGATTCATAAAATATAATTGATAGGTTTAGTGATAATGCAGTAAATTTTACAGATTTAGCACCTTTCTATCAACAGTTTATGACATATTTATGAACATTACTATATAATGGACAAAGACCTCCTGTCTTGTTCTTTGTGATTTAAATTTTTTTAAATCTCAAAATCATGTTTGGAAGAATTCAGGAAAAAACTACACAACTGGACTTCAGACTTGTATGTGTGTGGATAAAAAAATGTTTAGATTTGCAGCACAGAATACTGTGAAGCTAAAGTGTATTTGGGAAATACTTTGTCATGGTCCCTCTCAAGAACAACGATGCTTTAAATATATATAAATCAGGCAAAATCAATATTTAGAGCTACTAGAAATGGAAGTCTCCCTATAGCTCCATCGCGTTACTACAGTAAAATATTTTCAAGCCATGAGACTGGTAAAGTTTTCTAAACAGCATACATTTCTTTGCCTTTTGAACTAAATCAGACACATATTTCTAAGAGTCACCTCCCTGAGTCGAATGCTCTCTTATCTCATTTAATTGAGCCTGAAAAACACAGCCTAAATTTACCCTGGGAAAGGGAAAAACAAAAAAGCAACCAGTGGTTTATTTTGGTGTTGGGCAGTCGATTTTTCAGGTAGCAATATGTGAGCAAACCTTGCAGCTTTCACAGGTGAGAAGCCCATAATGGTACCCAGACACTTTATCTCCACACACCGGACAGAGTTCTTCAAGATCTTCATCATAGGAGTAATTCACCATTTTAAACTGAGACACTGAAACAAGAGAAATGTAGACACAAACCCAATTAATTTCACTACGTACATAGCTTTTCATACTGCAACGGAAAGCATTTGGGGACTGGTGGGCAAAAATCACCAGGTAAAAGAGATTAAAAAAATATTCCCCCACCCCAAAGCCCTGATGGTACTGAAGAGCACTACTTTTTACATATATTTTTAACATCTTATTTTTTATATATAAATATCTTTTGGTATCAATGAGCATATGCTCCCTTTTTTTTATTTGAAAATAATTCTAAGCTATTTTGTTAAAATTTTAAACTGATCACTCTTGGACACAGGTTTCATAACCCGGTAAAGAATAGAAACAGGAATTGCATGCAGTTAACAACTGAAAAGTTTCTTTTAAAGAGCTGTAAAGTTCCAAAATGTCACCTTTGTAGAAGGAAGAAAAACAAACACACACATTGGCCCTGCCAGGCCTTCAACTTGAACCAAGTTTCTAGCAAGGACTGATTTGTCAGGATAGCAACACTGACTGCAAACACTGTCGGGCAAAGACACTGTAGCCCCTGGAACCTGCTGTGCTGCAGAAGCAGCGACCCACTTTAACAACAGCCTGTAGCTCCCACAGTTCAGACCTGTTAGATTAATCTTAATCGGAACACTCATTATTGACCGGACTCCTGCTCTGGGGAAGTCCATTTACCATCGGAAAATCTGTGAGAAAAAAAAAAGATGAGAAGAGAAAGGGAAGGGCGCCCGGCGAAACAAAACAGAAGAGGGAAAGATACACACGAGGGTTTTGCTTCTCCTCAAAGTATTGGAAGCCCTGTAATGAACTTCACATGTTTCCGATCAGCACTGCAAAATATAAACACCTCGAGATCGCCTTGTTAAAGTTAAACAGAAATCAGGCCGCGGCGAGGCACGGCTCACTGCAGGGATCGGGTAACCGACTTCCTTGCGACGCAGCCTGAAGAAGTCATCTTCGCAGCTGAAAGATGGATTCACAACGCTCCAGAAGGTCAGTGGTTGGGAGGCCCCAGGAATTACCTGATCTGACCCGTAACTGAGACACCTCGTCCAAACAGGGCCAAGTATCCGAGCACCAGGCGCGGGTGGGTGGGCGCGCGCGGCGAGCGCGCTGGGCTAGGGACCGGTCCGCTCAGCTGGGGCCCGAGCCCGCACCCTTCCCGGGCACCTGGTCCAAAAGCCCCTGGGCTCACCGGCTTTCGCTTCTTGCTCAACCTTGGGCAGCACCCCGGCTCACAAACACCGATCAGAGTTTGTTTAAAGTTAATCAGTGGCATTTACAGGGGCGGGGCGCGGGGGATGGGGAACCGACCAGCGAGCAGAAGTTTCCTCTGATTTGTTTACCAAAAAGGAAAGACCGAAAGAGCCCCCACCCCAACGCTGTGTACCCGGGCACTTTAGATATCACCGCGATGGCCTTCTTGCCAACGGCTAGTTCTTTTTTAATAAAGATCTTTTCTCTCTCTCTGCAGTTTCTTAGGGCTCCCGGAAAAGGCCGTGTGGGGTGGGGGTGGGGGGTCATCTGCAGTTCTTGACGCCTGGGGGCAGAGCACAGACCTGCCCGGTTGAGGCGTCCCTTTCGGGAACAGTCCAGAGCTGGAACTTGACCGCGAGTGCCTTAAAAGTTGGGGCGAACAGGAGCCTGGGCTCTGTGCAATAGAAATACAGGGTTGCCAAGCGCAGCCGGAGTTCCAACCCTAAGACGCCCGGGCTTGGGTTTGGGGAGGTGTGAGTTTTCGCGAAGTTTGCCAATAGCTCCATTTTCCCTAAAAGTTGCGTCTCATATCTAGTATAGAGGCATGTTGTAGTTGGGGGGGGAGGGGAGAGTGGGCATTACCCAAGGCGTTCTTTTCCACGGACTTCCCCCAACCAAATGCACGCTAACCTAGGACCTACAGGCCCTGGAGAGGCAACCGCTGCAGGGGGACTCAAGGAACCCCTCCGGGATCCAACATCGGAAAAACCGCGTCTAGAGTTGGGGACCCTCTTGGAAAATCCAAAGGCAGTGGCCGAGGGGGCAAACCGAGGGCACAGTGAGAGGCCGGAACGTTTTTCAGCGTTTCCTAGCTAGGCAAATCTGTCCGGGCCAAGAAATACCCATCTACTCTCCAGTCTGCGCCCGGAGCGGGACCCGCAGATCGGCGCGCGCGGAGAGTCGGGCTGGGGCACACAGTGCTGTCCCGGGATCCAGCAGTAAGCCCTGCTTCTGGGATGCCCCAGGGCTAAGAAGCCTTCTCTACCACCACCCAACCCCCAACCCCGGCTGCCGTTAGTCCTTGAGGGCCCGAACGGGGTCCCTGTCCCCAGGGACCTCTCCCGGACGGGCGCGCAGACGGAGGTCTGGAGAAAGGCGTGTCCTGGTACCCCACTCCCGGCTTGGGAACCCCGGCCCGACAGAGTAGCTTCTCCTCCTCCCTGGGCACTGCGGGAGGCCGACGCGCGGCTCTGGAGAGTCAGCTCGGGTCAAGGGCGCATCTCCCGAACTTTACAAGGAAAATCTTACGACGGTATCTTCCCTAACCACCCTATCCCAGGGCACGCTTCTTTCGGCCTCCCCTACTTCTTGTTCCAGCGTCTCCCCGAGCTTCCCTTGCAGAGTCCGAGCTGGGATGAGAAGCAGAAACTTTCCTTGCGGATCAAGGGATCGCGCCAACCGCAGCCAGCAGACCAGTGATAGGCCCTCTTAGAACCATGCGGTGCAGGGACCCCGGCCTGGCGCCCAAGCGCCACTTCCCTGGGGCTCCTTCTTCGCGGAATCCAAGGTTTCGGGCGAAAACACCTCTTTGGGCCAACCAGTTTCCCCAAGAAGTCAGCCCGAAGAGCCACAAGTTAGACTCAGGGGATTCAACCCCAGGAGAGTTCCACAGCCCTCCCCAGAGATTTAGAGCGAGACCTTCAGATCCCGGAGTCCGTAACCGATCCCAGGAGCAAGGCGCACCCCCTCCCACCACCCACTTTGCCTCCGCCACCGGGCGACGTCAAGCCCCGAGGCCAGAGCGCCGGGAGCGCGCACGTCTAGCCCGCACCAGCAGCACGCACCAGCCCTGAACTCTGCTCTCAACACCTCCCCGGCCCTTTCAAGTTCTCGCAAGGGGATGGCAGGAAGCGTTCGGGGATCACAGGCCTGCGTGTCCGCACATCCTGCGAGCTGGAAGGGGCGAGGATGGAAGAGCACCGGCGACTTTTCCAGGCATTGTTCCCTCCCCGGCACAGGGCAACTGCGATAAACTTCTGAAGGGCTTAATATAAGCCAGACAAGAGCTCTTATTTTGGAACGCGGTGAAAATATAGCCAGCGGGATTTATTTATTTTCTTATCAATCAAGAGCTGGAAAACAAATGGGATTTCCCTATCAACTCTTAGGATGTAGAAGGGACATTCAACTAACCTCGGGGGTCCCAGCCCCAAGGCCCTACTCAAGAAGGAGTTAGGGTTAGAGGCTTTGGCCACTTTCAATTCTGTGCCTGCAGTTTTTAAGTTGCCCCAATTCCAATTGTCCACTTGGATTTTGGGGAATGGCTACATCCATTCTAACATTGCTAAAGCGAACCTTACCCCGCTCGCCCTCCGTAGTTGACGGTCCCACGCGGCGTACTCTCCCTCACACTCCGCCCCAAGCACTGATTAAAGTCTCCACTGGTTTCCAGGACCGAGAACCTGTTCGGGCTTCCAGTGAGACATTCCGGTTCCTAGAATGATTTTAGTATTACAAAGTACCTTTTGCCTGAAGCTGCCCGGCTCGGGTTGCCATAGAGTTCGCAGCCTTCTTTTCTTAATTAGAAGCGGCCAATTAGGCAGTGCTTGGAAAACCTCCGCCCCGCATTGTTCAAGAGCCATAAACTTTTATGCCTGCTTCTGGGGAGGGGGTCTGACGCCTGCGCACCGTCCGCAGCCCTCGGGCTCCCAGCGGCCGCGCGAGCAGGGAGGTTGCAGCCCGCAAGGCGAGCCCGGGGGAGGGGAGGCCGAGGGAGCCCGAGCCGCACGCAAAGCCTCCTTACCTTGCATGTTTTCCGGCATCTGCCCCTGTTCCCCATGCGATCGAGCCAGTCCCAGGGCTTCCGTCTCCACTTTGGGCAGCATGACAAGGCGGCCGCGAGCGGGGATGGGGGGTCCGTGTCGGTCCGCAAGCCCAGCACCTGGACACGGGCAGCAGAGATTCAACTCCCGCGGAAGGGAAGGGGGCGACCTGGATGCCCGCTCGCCCACCCGCTCGCCGGCGCGCGCCTGCGCCTCTGCCTCCTACTGGGCTGCGGGTCAGGACCACCAGCCCCGTCTGGTCTCGCAGCCCCGGAGACTCTCTCAAGCTGCGAACGGGAGGTCGGGGCTTGGAAAACTGGCGGAGCAAAGGGCGTCAGTGCGCCCGGGGTCGGCTCGGCCAGGGCGGAGGCGGCGGCGGTGGCCGTGGCGGGAGCGCAGTTGCCTGGTGCGCAGCTGAGCTCTGGGCCAGCAGCCGAGGCGGCCGCGGGGCTGCTGCTACCGTGGCGGCCGCTGCCGCTGCTCTCAGACTGCTCGGGCGACTCTGGCTGCTCAGTCACCAGCCTTCTAGCTCAGGATCAGCAGGAATCTCTCTCTCTTCCTCTCCTCCTCTCTCCACACTGCTCCCCCCTCTCTCCTATACTACCCCCTCCGCCCCTTCCCCTGTCTCTGCCTGCCTCCCTCTGCCTCCAAGTGTGGAGTTGTGAAGTTCCAACCTCCCTCCCCTGCCTCGTGGTCTCCTCTCCTGCGTGCAAGAGCAGCCCTTTCCAGCCCCGAGGGCGAAGGTGCTGGGAAGGCAGGGGGAAGAAGGGGAGGAGAAGGGAGGTAAGTAGGGCCAGGAGCAGGGGGAGGCTGAGGTGAGCGGGTGAGGTTGGGATACCGGGTAAGCAGTGTACCGACTGGGACGTGGGTTCCGGACTTGGGTCGGACACCAGCCGCCAGCCAATGAGGATGAGGCGCATGCTCTGGTCCCCTCTCCTGCCCCAACCTTTTCACCTACCCTTAACCCCCTCCCACCCCTACCCTGGCCTGGGGCGGAGGGTGTACACGCCAGGGAGTCCTCCAGCTGGTGACTAGCAACCTCTGTCAGATCGCAGTTGAGGCTGAGAAACAAGGGCGGCTGTTTTCCTAGAGCCCTGGGGCAGAGAGGAGAAGCGATGTGGGGTGTAAGGGGGGGTGTCTCTCCCGCCCCACTCGCCCCTGTGTGTGTCGAGTGAGGGGCTGCTGGGGGAAATAAACCCATTTAAACAACCGAAAGGAGAAAGAGGCTGTTGAATTTAGCGGAATTCTCAAATGCAGAGCTGTGGGTGAGGGGTCCCCGCGCTTCATTGCATTCAGACCTTAAAGAGGCTACGTGGTGTGACCCGCCGCCCTGGAGGAACTAGGCGACAACCGACTTGCCCTGGGCCGCGTTCACGCTCGAATCTAAAGCAACTATTTCTGTTTCTCCACTCCTGCCGTTTGCTCATTTATAATCTAAATCTGAGCCCAAGGTGATCTAGGCTAGGTTTAGTGAACTGTCTTGCCAAACATCATGCAAAGATGGCCTGAGCCTTTTCTTTTCCATTCTGGGGTCTTTGGTGGGACAGATCCACGTGAGGCTCAGAGAGAAGCCCAGCATTCAAAAAAGAAGAAGAAAAGTTTTAAAGAACCATCTGCTAAGCAAGCTCTTCGGCCACCAGCCCAGCCACATCTTCAAAAGTTCTCAGATCTCATCCCAACAAGAAGAAAACATTCTTTCCAGCCCCCAGACTGCATGCGAAATGCCACATATTCAGGGCTGGCCTTGCCATCGCAATCCGGTAATTGTCAGAGTCCACCCACAAGGGGGTGGATTTAAATCTCAAAAGATCTGGATTTATTCTACTTGAATGGCGCAGAGATTACACATTCCAAGTACCCAGTCCAGTGTTTGATGAATTGAAACGTCCTGCAATCGTTGCCATGTCTAATCTACAGTTTTGTATTAAAGGGGCTGTTCATCATCTACCTCCACCCAGCAATTCAGATACAGCCTCCGATTTGTCACTTTGCTGTTCAAAATTATATTGCAAATCTAAATTATTCTACACTTTGGTATCAGTAGGATTTTAGGATTTAATGGGTAAATTCCAACCTAGGAGGATCTAGTGACCCTTAAGATGTTCAGGTTTTCATGACAATATCAAGTACTGTCAATACCTTTGCAGCATTACTACTTGTTTTAAGAAGCACTGTTAATTCAGAATAGACACATTTTTATATGGTCCTCATAGGGAGATAGTCTGAGGACTCAAGCTAGTCCTTGCTGGGCTTTGCTTATGGTGGAAGGTGAACTTTGAAATCGGTTTATTACAAAGCCATAACTTAAAAAAATAACCTCTTCCAGAGAGCATCGGAGCCACGAATGATGGCACTTCCCCAAACACCAGGTTGGCAGAGGCTGGAGACTCGGGATTCCAGGTATTGAGAGGGAGTTTCCGGCCTCAATGTGGGAGGGGAGGTCCTTAGTTGTTGGGGCCTAAGGCAGAGGTTAGGGGAGTGGAAAAGGCCTGACAAGATCTTGAACTTGTGGTTCCGCAAGAACCCTTCATAGAGTGGAGGCTGAGGCTTTCCTAGTGCAGCAAACTGGGGTCACGCTCATAAGGTTGCGTCCAAGCTAGAATCTTCCCAGTCCAGGCCACTCAGTCCCCCCCATCAAACCTCTCCCTGACAAGACTCTACTGATGGCGTCACAGGAACAGCTGGCGTTTATGTTTCACCGCCCAGGTAGACTTAAAAACAGAAAATGCTCACAAAAGGAATTATGGGCAGAGGAACGGCCAAAGAGGTTTTAAAATCCTACGTTGAAACAGAGAGGAAATGCCTCCGGGCTTTTCGCCGGTGCTTTGGAGAGCCAGCCCTTTGCAGAAACCCCTAGGGACACAGAGAGGGCAGGAATCTCCCAGGAGAGAGAAAACGGTCTTTTCTGAAAGCCAAAGAACACTCTGAGCCTGAAGTCCAGCCCTGGGCGTTGCAGGTTCCAGCTCCCCTCACGCTGGAGAGGGGCTTGCTCCCTAGTGCCTGTTCGATCGCGAGGGACATCGACGCAGATGGTCACTGCAGTTCACAGACCTCAGGGTACGCTCACGCTTCTCTAGGTCACTCCGCCACTTTAGGGGTTCGGAGAGGCCTCAGCCGCGGACCTGAAGCAAAAGAAAGAGCGGCTGTTCCAAGTCTGACACCCCAAGCTCAGTACTGTCCTCAAAGTGCAACCTTCCTCCGCCCTCTGAACTCCCTGCTCCGGAGGAACACCCATTTTGATTCTCTGGCCATTCAGTTCCGCCAAGCGCGTTCCCCGCTGGAGCCAGGGACTCACTGATTGAATGTCCTGGGGTCAGGTCACGCTGGGCCCCGGGAATTCCGGCGTCGAGCGCTTCCGCACGGCACGGTCATCTGGGGGTGGCTCTGCATTGTCAGGACCGTAGCTGAGACGCGCCCAGGGGTGGCCGTTGGAATTGTAAGTAAGTGAGACGGGGCCTGTGCTGCCTAAATGTCCATGCCAGCGGTGGTCTGGACTGAGACTGACATATCCCCAGGAGCCTATGGACCCCCGTGCCGGCGGCCAGCCGCTTCCCATTTTCGGCCAGATCTTATTTTACTCACCACCACTCTGCCCGTGCAAATTTAGGAAGCTTACTGCTGCGGGAAATGTTTCTGGGGTCCGAGACCTGAGACCAGAACTCGGTAGGGGCCGCGTGGGAGGACCACCTCGGCTTTGGTGACCGGGCACTGTCTAAAATTGCCTTCTACTTTCCCTCCACCAACTTCTGGCAAACTTCTCTCCCCTCCACCCCCACCCCCTACGCCTCCTCCTCTAGGCTGGCAAGACTAGTCTCCCGGGCTTGCCCTTCCCGCTTCTGACTTTGTCTTAAAGTGTTGATTGACGGTTGCAATTACCAAGGATGATGGCTCGGGGAGGCTCCCGCAGCCTTGATGAGCCGGAGAAGCGCAGTCCTGGCATATTTTATACCGGCTCAGCGTTACGGGCCGTGCGCCTCTTCCACCCAACAGACTGGAGATAGGGACCCGCGCACTCCCCACCCGAGAGGCAGCGGCTGCCCGGCTCTGCCCCCGCCCCACTCCCCCCTCCCCGGAGGGCCGCGCCGCCTTTCTTAGGACGCAAGTCCGGAACAGCCTGCCCTTGACCTGACCTGGGAAGTGTCTACTGGTCCCGAGCGCTTCAGGAATGAAAAGATTTTCAGGAGCTGTTCAGATTCCCGAGGTTTGACAAGCACAGGTCCCGTTCTGAGAGATGAAAGCTTCCCTCCTGCGTTTTGGGGGAGAATCCTCCGAGGACCCAACAAATCTCACCCGAAATTTGTAAACCTTCCTCCTTGAAAACATTCTCTAAGGGCTCCTCCACAATTACACCCTTTTTGTGCTCTTAAAAGACTTTTCCACTAATCTACTTTTGTTTTTGTTTTCAGCCCCTGGGGAAAGATAGTGTTTTGTTTATTTGTTGGCTTGTTTGTCTGTTGTTAACCGATTCCCATATCTAGGGTAGGATAGCCAGAGGGGAAGAGAAGCAAATTTATTAGAACCAGGGAATATTCTTCTGCCTGAAAAGGGGAGTTAAAATCGCTTTTGCCTGTCTCTGACAGTTCAGTTTTGCAGGGACTACAGAAAGTCCTGGCCTCAGGGCCTGGACTATTGGCCCCTGCCCCCAGCCTGGCTCCCAAAGGCTGGGTTTGTTGCTTTTAGGGGGGGGGGGGATAGATAGATTTTAGTCCAGCCTTTGTAAATAATAAAATCACTCTGATTGGCCAAAACTTTGAAAACACAAACTTTAGTGAGAAGTTGTGCCACGTGAACAGCAATAATCCCTTTCTACATACTAGACGGGATTTTTACTACTGTCTACCTAGTGAAGACACTAACAACTACTACTAGTGAAAAACGGCTGCAGTTTCAGAAATGATACCCTCACCCCCACCCCCCAAAAAACTGGTGGTTAGGGGCAGCCCCCCAAAAGCAGTAAATCCACATTTCTCTGGGAACATACTAGTACTTCATGGCAGAGGAAACTTAAAATTGAAGCAATTATCCGGATAATTCTGGCTCCCCCCAGACAACTTCCCACTCCAGCATGAAAGAGAGTGTTTGGGCAGAATTTGGATTGGATTATCTCAACCTGTGGTTC